GGAGAAATTTAATGTTGTTGATATATGGAGAGAAAAATTCCCAGATGACAAAACCTTTACATGGAGCAATAAAATAGGTTCCAGACAATCCCGGATAGATTTTTGGCTTATTTCCAAATATATTAACAAAGACAATATCGATGTTAACGTACTTGCCACCCCTCTTACAGATCATAGAGCTATTCGCATTAGCATCCAGATTTATACCCCAGATAATACATCGTATAAATGTGCTTACTGGAAACTAAATAACTCCTTGCTAAAGCATGATGTGGTTAAAACTCATATTAATAAATTAATTTTATATTATTGGAATAAGGCTAACAAGGAAGGGTCCTTTTGCAACAATTGGGAACTTCTCAAATTTGAAATTAGCAAATTTTTAAGACATTACGGAAGTCAGATCTCTAAATTAAAGAAAGCTGAAGAGGAAGAAGTCATAAGCAAGATTTCCTCCTATTACCTAAAATGCCAAGAAGAAGTTTCAGAGGTAGATAAATTAAATTTAATAGAAAATCCGAATAAACTGGATGCCTTGTATAAACACAAGGCTGAAGGTGCCTTCATCAGATCCAGGAAACGATGGCTGGAAGAAGGAGAACAAAATTCTGCTTACTTTTTTAGACTTGAAAAATACAGATCAAAAATAAACTCTATTTACCAACTAAATATCAATGACATTATCTCAAACAATCCTAAAGAAATTGCAACCTTTTGTACTAAATTTTACTCTAATTTATACAGCTCAAAATATAATAAAGAGATATCAGAATCATTCCTTAACAAAATAAAAAATGTACAAACTATTGATGTAGAAGATAAAAACTTCTGTGACAGCCCTTTTACCGTGGAGGAAATTTCTAAGTGCATTAATGCACTCAAGGCCAATAAATCCCCCGGCACAGATGGTTTATCTGCTGAGTTTTATCAATCATTCTCTAAGCATATAGCTCCATTTCTCTTACAGGTATTTCTAGAAAGTATAGAGAACAACACTCTCCCTCCTACCCTGACTCAAGGCCTAATAACACTCATTCCAAAACCAAACAAAGACCCTCTACTTATTGATAATTGGAGACCTATAAGTCTACTCAATAATGATTATAAAATTATGGCTTCAATACTTGCTTACAGACTTAAAGAGGTTTTGGACACAGTTATTGATGAGACACAATCAGGCTTTATGAGGAACAGACACATCTCTAACAATATTAGACTTGTTCTAGACTTACTTGATTATTCATATCTAGTGCCTGATGAAAGTTTTATTCTTTTCCTTGATTTCTATAAGGCCTTTGACACAATAGAACATCAATTCATTTTTCAATCTTTAATAAAATTTGGTTTTGGCCCCTTTTTTTGTAATGCATTCAGAACATTATACTCCAACTCCAATAGTGTCATTAAATTGCCAAACGGCACCACCCCAAGATTTGACCTAAAACGTGGCATTCGTCAAGGATGTCCCGTCTCACCTTATTTATTCTTACTTTGCTCTCAAATCCTTACAACTCATATCTCCAATAGTGCCGTACAAGGAATCAGCTTACCTAACAAAGTACTCATAATCAGCCAGCTGGCAGATGATACAACACTATTTTTAAGGAATGCAAACCAGATCCCTCTGGCCTTAGAGGTGATTAATACTTTTTCCAAAGCCTCTGGATTATTTTTAAATTTAAAAAAATGTGAATTGCTACCGATTAAGGATTGTCATGCTAATGATATTTGCAATATTCCTGTTAAACAAGAAGTTTCTTATTTAGGAATCTTAATCTCTAAAGACCAGAAGTTAAGATGCTCCTCTAATTTAATACCAATTATACAGAAAACCAAAAATAAACTGAACCAGTGGCTTCAGAGGGATTTATCTCTTAGAGGAAGAATTTTGATTTCTAAAGCTGAAGGATTATCCCGACTGACTTATGCTGCTCTCGCCTTACATTTAGACAATAAAATCTGTAAAGATATTGATCGTATGCTTCTTAATTTTATATGGAAAAATCGTACTCACTATATCAAAAAAAGTGTTATTATGAATAATTATGAATCAGGTGGACTTAACTTTCTGGATTTCTCTACCCTAAATAACACATTTAAAATTAAATGGGCTAAACACTTCCTTAAGAATCCAACCTCTATCTGGAACATTATACCACAACACATTTTCTCATGCTTTGGTGGCTTCAACTTTATTCTACATTGTAATTACAATGTTGAGAAACTCCCTGTAAAACTCTCATCTTTCCATAAGCAGGTGTTCTTAGCATGGACACTCATTTATAAACATAACTTCTCACCTCACAAATACCTCATCTGGAACAACAGATATATTCTATTTAAAAACAGGTCACTCTATCTTGAAACCTGGGTTCAAAAAGGAATTTTACTGGTGGCTCAGCTGATTAATAAAGAAGGACGATTAATCAATTACAATGAATTCTGCTCGATATATAATTTTCCAGTTAGTATCCAGGAATTCTCCATGGTGGTTAATGCTGTACCTTTGGGCACCTTAATGTTGTTTAAAAACACAAATTATTCTCTGTCTGTTCCACCTTTTATCCCTGCTCTAACCGAATCATCTGTGGGAAAAAGCTGTTTTTCAATCGAGTTTAGGAAAAGCAATGAGAGAATACGAAGATTGTTCCAAGAACTTGTTTCTCGTCCAGCCATAACATTTTATTGGAGCCGTTATATCCCAGATATTCACTGGAAAACTGTTTGGATGATCCCTCATAAATATTTAATTATTAACAAGGTGAAGGAAGTGTCATTTAAAATTCTCCATAAAATTTACCCTGCTAAACATTATATGTTAAAATATAAACGCGACATAAACACTAATTGCACTTTCTGTGAGGGCCATCCAGAAACTGTGACACATCTTTTTTGGCTCTGCCCTGTTATTCAAAGGTTTTGGTCTGAATTTAGCAGGTTTATTATTGACCATATCTTAAACAATTTTTCTTTATGCTGGGAAAATGTTTTATTTTGTTTCTATAGATTTCATAGAAAGGTTGCTAATCATTTCTTTATAATAAACTTACTAATACTCTCTGCTAAATATTATATTCATAAATGCAAGTTTGCTAATAGGACACCTTGTTTTTCTTTTTTCATTAAAGATATGGCTCTATATGTCAAATCAATAACAGACTCTACAAATCAAAAAGCTCAAAGGACAATCTCGATATGTACGTCTTTGCATGTTCTCATCTAATCACCCCTGGTTGTATTGTTTGAATGTTGTATTGTTCTTTATGCTGTTTGTTGTATACTAATTTCATTTAAATAAAGTTCATTGGAAAAAAAAAAAAAAAAAAAAAAAAAAAAGAGCTGATGGTACGGATCGTGCTACCGGTACGGATCGGGTAGCGACATGCAGCTAGCATGTCAGGCTAACGCTGCTTCCTGAATGAGACCCAGAACCCAACCTGAGGAAAAACACCAGAGAGGCACAAAGATAGAAACACAATACCAGACACGCTTCTTGTTGTTGCTCCTCCTCTTCTTCTTCTTTTAATGGCGGCTGGCAGGCGACTTATTGATGCGAATTACCGCCACCTACTGGGCTGGAGTGCGGATCGGGACGCTATTTATATATATATAAAGTCTTCCATATGAAGGACCAACTCTGCCATATTTAAAAATAAATACAGAAATAACAAAAAAGTGAGACATAAATGTATATAACTCTTAATTAGCTTCTTTATTTATTTGCCTTTGTAATATTTACCTTATTTATTTTTCTGTCCTTTATAATCTTCAACTTTATTTTTTAATTACTTATATTTTTAAGTAGGGGCGGATCTAGGAAAATATTTATGGGGTGGTGAGAGGGGGGCAGGAATTTTTGAAGGGTGGCAACATATGGCGGTTGTTTATTCTTTATTTAATCGCAGTTATCACAGTTTGGTGAGAAATAGTTTGTACAGTACGTGTTTCATGTGAAACATTTCATATTAGGAATATATCATGTGATCTCACTTAAAAGGAGATAAAAGTATAATAACATGACTTCAGGTGGGGCATTATCACAGGACAGGGATCTACTGCTGGGGTGGCAGCCAATAAATCTCTCTCTCTCTCTCTCTCTCTCTCTATATATATATATATATATATATATATATATAATTTTTTTTTTTTTTTTTATATCAAAGAACTCTGAAGGTTAGCACCCGATTTCAGGTCATCCGATAAGGACCGGATGCTGATCGCTGAAGGAACCAATAATTACACTGAATTAGATGTTTATTTACTTTATTGTGTATATTTGATTTATTTTTCTTCTAGATGAACCAAAATGATAACTTTGAGACCAATTACCCCTTTGACTCATCAAATGAAACAGAGAAAGATATTCTGGAAAGCTTTAAGGATAATTTTTAGAATACTAAATGTTACATTAAAGTGTTGATGACACAATTTTGAAAGTTTCTAGTATTTTTTTGTAGACCAAAACATTAATATCAATGATCAATGAAATTCAGAGGACCCCCGCATGAAATAGGTTTTATCAAAAAAACCTCTGGCATTCAGAGAGCTGCAGCACCACTCAGTGACTGAGAGAGAAAACAGGAGAGAAGTTTGCAGGAGAAGCTGGAACAGCGGTCTACTTATGAACAGCTGCCGAAGTTTTCATGGATTTAGACACAGTTTTTCCTTCACGTTCTGTTCCAGCTTTTTGTTTCAGCCACCATAAAGATGGCGCCTCCTTTTTTAACTTTCCTAAGGATCCTAAGCTGCTTTCAAAGTGACTGAAGCAAAATGAGATCGGGAGAACTTGGAACGCTCCACGTTCTTGGAACGCTCCAAAAGCATTTTCTTGTCAAAATGTTCCAAGCACTGCTGTGCCGCCATCTTTACTTTTGTATAAAGACCCAGATGGAAACAAAAAGACCTTCTTTAAATATTGTTCTCTTATTTCTCCTCTATTCCTATCCATCCGATTAGAATGGAAATGTTTCTTTTTGTTGTCATAAAAAAGAATGAATGAGTGAATGAATGAATTAATGACTTTATTTCAGACAACCATGTAAAATTGTAAAACTACCAAATGCAAACGTTATCTATAACCAAGAAAGTATATACTGTAATTTTGTGCTATTGTTTGAGGGAGGAACAAAGAGGTGTAACGTTTTTAACCATCACCCTTCACCTTACTACGGTCCTTAACACCAAAGATCTTCCTGGTTCCCATTTAACTTAAGAGTCCATACTACACAAAAACCAGTAAGTGAGGAAATAAATGAATCAGATGATGCACATATAGACATACATATACCCATTCACAACTTCAAGCCTGCAATTATTATCCACAGCCCAAGCAATCAGAACCAGTGCAAAAACACCTTTATCCCTGTTCACAATGAGTAAGACTACCTGCTGCTCAGAAAGGCCTCAAACATTAACGGCCTTTTTCACCTGTCTGTTTCCCTCATTAGAGTTAGCTGCTTAGTTGAACTGGATTTGCTTTGTAAGCCTGCAGGAAGAGGTGCTGCATTCAGAGCCACTGGATGCGCCATCGCTGATAACTTTTTGAACCCCAAAGACTTCGGACCTTTGGAAGACACCTCTTCCATCCTTTTTGCACTTTGACGCCTCAACCTTCAGGATTGCCTGAGACCCTGAGAGCTGGTTTAGTCCAGTATCACCCTGAGCTAGGCTAACCTGGTTCCCATTCACGGATCCTGCAGGGAGCATGCCTTTAATAAACATATTCTGGGAAGTAAAGACCAGGTTTTCATTGGTCCCCATGCTGTCCATCAGCACCATCTCTGGGCTCTGGGTTTGTGCTCTGTGCATCACTGTCTGACCTTGAACAGTAACTGCCTGGGATGAACCAATGTTAGTGCCGGTAACCATAAACATGACATTCTGAGGAGGCTGCTGAACAACATAGTGCACGGGCTGAATCACAGGTATGGCTGTAGGGTAGACAGGCTGCTGTTGCTTTAAAACTAGCATCCTGTTCTGATGTTCCATCCCTGCTTGCACTGAGTGCATCTCTTCCCTCACTGTGGCCTTGCTCTCCCTTATCTCACTATGCTCTGTTATCTCACTGGCTACAGTCTGCTGCACTTTGGATGAAGAGGACATCGCTTGGCTTGTCAACAAATCTGCCTCTGACATTTGAATTCTGCCTGAAGAATCTTTAGATAGGGGAGTATCCAATCGCGTTATCTCAGTTTGAGTTTTTTTGGCTCCACATATTTCAGCAAGTGTTTTAAATTTGATCCCAAGATCATCCAAGAACTGCAGATCGTTGTCTGATTCCAGAAAACTGCAGCAGCCCACAGAGCCAGCAACGGAACCCGCGCCTTCATAGTCATACGCATGCGGGCCGTCCTGTTCTCCCCCAAGGAGCTCATTTCCCCTGGTTTTCTGTTGGTAAAATAAGAAATCATCAGTTATTTTAATATTTGCATGAAACAAAGAAAATCATCAACTTGAAATTCCATAATTACAAAATTTTCTTGAATTATAAACATTGTTCTGAGAATATTAAACACATAGAGAGAGGCAGCTATGTTCACCTCTCCAAACCCTGGAGGGGGTCAGAACTGCCGCTACATGCGGCTCTTTAGCGCCCCCATCCCCCCCCCCCCCCCCCCCTTGCGGCTCCCTGGACCTTTTTCAAAAATGTATGAAAATAGATTTTTTTGTTTGTGTATTTTAATATGGTGTGCAGGAGGTCAAACAAACATTCACTCTATTTTCCAATGTTGTAAAAATCTATATAATAAATAAATGTAAACATTTCTGTCAATGAACATTTTCATCCTAGCCGTTTATATACTTCAATTGTATTTACAACTTATAGTTTGGGCTGAACTGTGCGCAAACTGTGCCCAGATGAAAGTGCGCATTCAGCGTCTGCTCTGCCGATAATGCAAGCGTAGAAGAAGAAATGTGCTGTTTACCTGTGCAAATAAAGAAACAACGAAAGAAAAATTTCTGAGGACTTCAGTGTTGAGGAAGAGCATGAGTTCTTTGCCGAGCTGAATGCGCACTTTCATCTGGTTTGGTCTGCCGCGGTTTCCGTAGACTCGTGAATGCGCTTTTAGGAAATCCTATACACTACTGTTTATGCTCTAAAAACATTCTAAATGACTTCGTTTCGAGTAAATTCTGGATGCTACCCACTCAGGACACTTGGAATACATTGGACGAGCAGTATGGAGGAATATTGACACGTTTTTTGTGGACTTTTATGGACCTTTCTGTCTCGGGCGCCATAGACCTCCATTATTTGAATGTCAGCAGACAGCAAGCAGCCTCCCAGATCTCCAGATGCATTTGAGATATCAAAAAAGTACTCCAGAGTGTTGTTCAGCATGGGGGTGAGTAGAAAATGAAGGCTCAGGGCCGGCGATTGCTATAGGCGAGCTAGGCAATTGCCTAGGGCGACAAATGTGTTGGGGGCGCCCTCTATACTTAGCGTCGCCCTTAGGCTTACTTCCCATTAATCATAGAATTAGAAAAAAAAGCGAATTAAACCGGTTATGAAGCGTCCGTCAGTTTGACTTAAGCTTACGTATATATAAATAGCAAAATATGAACAAATAAATATACCACCGTTTTTTTATTTATTTTTTCACATTTAAGAGAAAATCGGAAAAGATTCTGATCTCTTTTCAAGCGCCCTCCAACCCGGAAGTCGTGACGTCAATCACTGCAGCATGTCCACCAATATTTTGGAATGAAATTGTAAGCAAACAGATATTAAAAGTAAAACAAGTGAATTCTGACACTTAACTTTGCTCGCGACTCGAGGATGGCTGAACGGAAAAGACTCCCCTCTCCTCCTCCAGCTGCTGCCGCAGTCGGGCCGTCTTAATCATCCACTCAGAGTACCACTGGTAAGCGCACACAGACTTTGTAGCTTGTCCGGTCAGTTAAAAATATTAATTGTGAAATCCGTCTTGTAATCGGAAGCATACAAGCTAGTTAGCTTGAAAAGTAAATAAAGTTTCAGACGTGCTGCGTGATGATGTGTTCAGATTGGCTCAGTAAAATGACAATTAGGTTATCATGATGCGTTCAAGTGTAACGTAAAGAAAACGGGAAATTTTGTTTTTGGCGAAAAACATGAGTAATACAGTTGTATATTGCTCTATATATAATTAAACTACTGATGCCAACATTTATTAAAAATTACATTTAATTTAAAATACAATTATTTATTTGTTAAATATTTTCGTAATCACTAAAAACATGATGAAAAGTGACAGTAGACAATACATTAACCAACAATTGTGAAAATATATTCTAGTTAGTTTTATGTCATTTCCAAGTGGCCTATTACATTAGCCATGTTTATTGAAGGCTAGAAACGTTTTTGTTATGCTCACTTGTTAAGCAATAGAAGCAATACCAGTTCTGTTAATAAATTTTGGTGCATCGTCTTTCCACCAAATAACAGAAAAGTATCGATAGTGGTATCGATAAAGACTCGGATCGATAAGGAGTATCGATAAAGGTATCGATATCAATAAATATTAACGATCCCCATCCCTAATGTTGACATTTTTTTCTCAGAATTATGTGCTATATTATTAGCTTGAGAATGGGTAGAAGATACTAATATAAATAAAATATTTTGTAGTGATTATCTGCATTGAGTGTTCAAAAGGGATGTACAAATAATCATCAAAATATATGAAGTTATGGCTGTTCATCATAGAATATGTGAACAAAAAAAAAACAACAACTTCAAACTTTTAATTTTGTAATGGTATTCATAAAAGCACTTTTGTTTGTAGAGGGTTAATCCTTTCTTTAATCACTAATCAATGTCAGAAATCAGGGTAAATATACCTGATATATTTTATTTAGAGGAAAATTTTGTTTATCTCATTTCTATTTATGTTCAAATGATTTAATTGAACTGGAAAAGAAAATTTAATTTAATGTTTATCAATTACTTTTTTATGTAGTCCTTGGTTGAAGAATTTCTTAAATGTATTATTTTTTATTGTTATTTGGTAATTTCTGAAATTGATTTATTTAATATTGGTTTAATGTGTGTTAAATTTGTTAATTGTCTGAAATAAATTCATTCAATGATTCAATCCAGTTTTTTAGTTATACTTTACCTAAGTGTCCTTACAGATGGTTAAAAGTGTTTTTGCACAGTCCTAACTTTGAGTGTGTAATAAATTATTTAAAATAAGAGGTACTGAAACCTATTCTGGTATTTGTCTATGCATCACTCCATGCTAAGTTACAGTTTTTTCTGAATGCTTAAACACAACCTTGATTCTTATAGCACAATTTCTAAAACTATTAATACTTATAGCAAATCCACTCACTGAACTCAATGAAGCACTAAACAGATGCTGAAAACAGTATTCGTATTTAGCACGGCAAAAGTGTGCGGGGGGGGGGGCGCAAAACTCAATCTCGCCTAGGGCAACCAAAGGGCTAGAACCGGCCCTGTGAAGGCTAATCATGTTTTGGGTGTACTATTCCTTTAAATCTTTGAACTTTTTCCCTGCCTCCTGGTTGTGTTCTGCATATGGGCTAGCATCCAGATACCCATCATGACAATAATACTGTGAAAATACTTTTTTGGTAAAGAAGGTAAAGAAGGACTGCATAAATATTTTCCTTCTTTTACATGTTTTTTACTATGGAGGCTTAATAATTTGAAATTTTACCTGGTTGAGGTAGATGTTTTGGTATCTTGACAAACGTAGGTCCTCAGTAACAATGTCCTCTCGGGCCGCTCTGCTTTCACACTCAGAGTAGAAGGTACTGCCATCCCACTGGTTTATTTCCCACAGCTCTGCTCTGTGGTCAGCCGGGTGCACGCCCGCCTTTATGAAGGAACCTGATTGCTGGGAATCCGTATAAGACCCTGCTCCCATTTTTTGAAATGGAATCCTGGCAGCTTTCATGTTTGACCAGATTTTCCAAGGCATGTCCTATGAAAGGCCAACAATACTAATGTTAGAGCAAAATCTGTTTTTACATATTTTCTGGCAAGTGCAACTAGAAACTGTTTGTCTCACCATATTGGGCGCTGGTGCTGGGTGCTCATAGTTTTGGCAAATGAGTTGTGAGCTTGTGGAATCATTTAACTCAGTAAATAATGGGCCTGAACAGGTGCAGTGATGCAACAGGCATGTACCCACTGAAACAAAAATATGTACGTCAACCAAAAGCAAAACAATACTTTAAATATAAATCATATGTCCCTCTCCCCAGAATCCTGCCAAGATGAGCAGACAGATTAGAAGAGAAATGGCAAAAGTAAAGGAGTTCAATAAGCATCGGAATCTAGGACATGTTAAAGATATTTAAAGGAAAAGTTCGGTCAGATTCAGAATCCAAACTTCTGAAAGTTCTTTAAATGTGAAATGATTCCATCCTGTTCAATAAATGATCAGTGTTTTTAATTCAGAGTTATTTTCATGTGAATGTGCTTTACTGGAGGCATCCATGTTTGTCAAAGAACACTACTGCCACCTACTGGTTAGTGACGTCACGGGAAAAATGGCCGCTCCCAGACTAAAGTGATCGCAATGAAATTCATAATTCTATTTTTTTACTGATTAACCCTAAATTCATCAAATAACTGCGAAAATATTCGTTTTTATGTATAAATAATGAATTATTATTATTCCTTGCTGACCGGAGTTCTCCTTTAAATGCTAATGAAATGTTTTCATCCATAATAGTGTTTATCTTTGGCCGTATTTGGTAACTCTAGCAACATTTAATTTTTTTTTCATGCTGTCAGAGATACTTTAATCACAGAACAACACCTGCTTTTAGCAAATGGTTTTTCTGGGTCAACTTTTCCAGAGGCCTTCTGGGATAAAAAAAGAATTTAAGAAGTTTATTTCCTAAAGAGCAGTTTTTCTCCCAGAGCTGTCTCTTTATTGAACTCTGATCCTCACTGATCCCACTCCGCTCACATATTAATAAGGCTCGGGCACATGACGTCACACGTTGCGCGGCAGACATATTGATAGCTGGTCAGCCCACTGTTTACACTTTGACTTCGCGCCTGTAAGGACTAGCTTTCTTCTGCTAGTAGTTTGCTTAGTTTTTTGCCGTTTCATTTTACCTCTGCTGTCGTTATGGTCGCCCGTTGCTGTGTCGTAGGGTGTAGTAACGCAAGCTGTGACTGGACGGGGAAAAAAATCCCAAATGGATTGTCTTTTTACCGTTTTCCAACCTGGAGGCGTCTCAATGGAAAACAAATGTCCTCCATAACAAAGAGTCGCCGGCTAGCATGGGTCGCTGCTGTAAGACGGCCAAATATAACTTTCAACTCAATCCCAGTGTCCATGAGAGTGTGTTCCCGGCATTTTCATTCTGGTAAGTTACAGAACATACTGTTTTTATTCATCTATCTCCGCCCCTGCGTGGTAGTACCATGCTAGGACAGTCATATATCATCAGAATGTAACTACATTATCCCTGGACACGTACAGTCAGCACAAGATTTATTTAGATACATTTTTGATGTTTTACGTTAGTGCCAGCACCTAGTCTTATCACCACAACAAACACCACACCATGTTGAGACGGTAGCTTACCTTGGCTCTGATGACTGTGTTCTCATTCGGCTTGATAACTTCCATGTCATGAACTTTTCCATCTGTCAGCTGTTTGTAAGCCTCTAGCGACTTGTAGCAGCGAAACTTTTCATGTGTGTAGGCACTGACGCCACACACTAGATACGAAAATACGTCCTCCCTCGCAAACGGCGGTAGAAATTCTTCCCCAACGCACCACTCCTTGCTTTCTACTTCGTAGGGATCAAGTCCGTTTATGAAGCCCATCTTTTGCAGATAACGGTCCCTGGCTTCCCTCTGCAGTGTGTCTCGGTATATTCCGCATCCTTTCTTCGCTTTTAACATCGCTGTTTACTCGTCTTTCTGCTCTGTCTCTATGCTGTTTTAGGTCTTTGTTTACCGTAGCAACGGTAGCAACTAGCTACTAATATGGCGGCGTACCCAGGATGCAACGCGCTGTGCCCGAGCCTTATAGACTCTCCTCTCCCTCCTCACACCGGCCACAATGCTGACTGTTACTATAGTAACAACTGTTTAAATGCATCTTGGACTGGAATATTGGTTGGCACTTCAACTGTTTATTTACAGTACCGATTGTTTACATATATATCTGCATTACCGTACTTTAACTGTAATATGCAATTACCTTCCACTGCACTTTAATACAGAAAGCTTCACTCCAAGTTTTATTTATTCTTTTTATAGTAATAGCATTGTATATCCTGCACTTGCTGCTATTGCACTTCTGGTTAGAACTAAACTGCATCTAATCTAATCTAATCCCTATGAAGCTGGAGCAGCCCTACTGGTTTGTTTTGAGGTTATAGATCGGGAGGCATTCTGCTAAACTCATGTGGAAAACATAAAAAATCATGACTAATTCCTTGTAATAAAACCTGGATTTCCAGGGACCCAAACTACTTAACAAGAAAATGGGAGCTTTAAGCTGTGTATTTACATTATCCTGCAAAAAAATAAGAACCCAGTCATACTCACATATCAGAAGCATCAATCCCAGAAGAAGAACGCCTAATCCTGCATTTCCTAATTTGCTAACCGGATTTGCATCGACTTTCCTAGTCTGACAGATAATGATGTAGATTTTCTGTGGATCTAGGCAAGTCTGTCCATGCTGGTCTTTCACCATCAGCGTCACCTCGTAGACACCAGGCGGAAGGTTCTCCTTCGGCTTCACAATAGCTGCAGTATCTGTCAGATAAAACAATGGTCGACATTTATAAACTCTAACATTGTTATTAAATATTGGTGTTGTTACTATAGTAACAACTGTTTAAATGCATCTTGAACTATTTACATTGACTGGAATATTGATTTGCACTGCTGACTGTTTATTTACAGTACTGATTGTTTATATATTGTTAGATTCAAAATATTGTGAGTTCATTTTTCATATTTCATATAGGACAAAAATTTATCTGAAGCACAAAAGGATTTTCAAACAGAGCTTTTTTCTGCAGGAATGAGAAAGGCTAATGCTCATATCCAAGCACCTTTCCACACTGATCCCTTCACAGCAAAGCCTTTTATTAATAATAATAGGGCGGGTCTTAAACAGAAAACCCTGCAATGATTATCTGGCAGGATGCAGGTCATAAGACAGTGTGAAATGACCATCTGGCTGGATGGAAGTCACACAACAGTGTGACTCTGCCTCATGACCTACTGGATGCAGGTCATAAAAGTTTATGGTTAAAAGCCCTAGAATGAAACCACAGCCTGTCAGCTCTCTGTAATTTCCATAAACCTTCCTTAGGATATTATCTTGTCTGATTTCAAATATTTTCAGCAGTCTTGGACACATTTCCACTTTTTCCTCACATAAGATATATGTCAATGTATTGTCTTACCATTGTACCATTCCACTTGCCAACTTCCTTTTGTCTCACTTGGGTCGATGGTAAAATCAAAAGGTGGGCTACTATATAATGCATTTTCAACATCAGCATTAACAATGACAAAGTTCTTTGATGTGCACATAGACAGGGATTTCCTTGGCAGGGTGGGGCAGTCGCCGCTGTCCACCTGGATGGCTATGGTACCAGTAGATGTTTTAGCGGGCATATCTGTCATGGAAAAGCAAAAACAGAATGTTATTTTTAATATGGTGGCTTGGTCTTTTATCCTTCAAACAGCCCCACGTACGAGGAGTTTCTGCACTTGAGAGGAGCACTGTATATTTCTGGCAATCCCAGTGACTAACTGCCAGATTCTTGAAAGCCATTTGTTTAAGTACACCCTCTAGCATCCATAGTTTGTTGATTTGGTGATAGCCATAGTCTGAATTACTAAATTGGTTAGGGCAACTGGATGTTAACAGCTGGTCAGGGAGTCCAACATTTTATGTAAAAGGCTAAGAACAATGTTGAGTAAACAAATTACAGTTGTAATCAATCAACTAATAATCATTAATTATTTTTCCCGTCAATTTGAATGACCTATTGATAAACTATAACTTGCAGTTCTAATTATTTAATATATTCATAATAACAATACAATAACCACAAATAATAAAACTTTACCTTCTGTGATGCAGAGTATTTCAGCCAAATATGTCCCATTGACCAGTGAAGAATACTCCCTGTAAGGATTCTTGATCAGTTTGATCTCAGCTGTTTTGGGGTCAATACTAAACCATCCGCGAGGGTCAGAGCCTTTTAGATATCTACGCATCGTAGAAAAATATATTTAGATGACTCATGACAGGAGAAGTATTTTCATTTTTACAAGGTTTAGGTTTGCGTTTATACTGACGTGACATTATTCACTGGCTCTCCTGTGACTTCATCTATTGCAGGATAACGGCCAATGATATTAGAACCGTCCAAGTAGTGGGCCCGTGTGAGTGGAATAGCTTTAGCAGCTGAATCAAAATTAGGTCCTTCTGGCTCGTCCATCACATTGATTTTGATTGAATAGCCTTTAAATGTTGTTCCACTGGATCCTCCAGATCCGGTGGTACTGCCATCACCACTGGCTCCACTGGCCCCACTGGCTCCACTTGCACCACTGGCTCCACTGGCTCCACTGGCTCCACTGGCTCCGCTGGCACCGCTTGCACCACTGGCACCACTGGCCCCGCTGGCTCCACTGGCTCCGCTTGCACCATTTCCTGCAGCACCACCAGCCCCTGCGCTAATACCAGCTTCAGCATTGGAGCCAGATCCATCAAACAGTGGAGCCTTGTTGCGTACTTCTAGTCCCAGGTCCAAGTTTTTAATGGATTCATAGTCCAAAGGCTGGAAATGACACCAGAAAACAAAGTACAGGTTCAAAAACAAGCTTTGGCATGCGGAGTATTACCAAAATGGAAGCGGTTTCGGAAGCGTATTGCATTCACCAAATAATTATGAAATCAGTATCCCATAATGTTGATAAGATGTACATGAAACGTGAACAATGGGTGGGTTGTCGGATTCAATATGCTTTTATTTTCTTTTTGAAATGGGACACTGGGAAATACTGAGTTTCATCAATGTGGATGGAATTAGTTTGAGTTTGTTAGCGTTGCGCAGATAGCTTAAGTACTTAGGATTCTTAGGCGAAAAAGCCCACCCTACAATAACTTGACGGAATATATAAATAAGATTTTTCCTTCGTTGAATGCAATGCGCTTCAGTAGGATTCAGCTGCATGCAGAGATAATCACGTCACTGAAGCACATTACTTACTACATTAGCTTCATGGGAAAATAGAAATTATATTTAGAGTTATTTCAAAAAATGCAACTGACAGTGGCTAATCAGAATAACTAAGAATTGCCCGACTTAATTTAATTAAGTTTCAACTCATAAACATAATAAATTGAGTTTAATCAACTTGATTCAATTACTTGTAACTAATTGAAAGAATTAAAGTTGGAGTAGCATTTTCTTTTTAGAGTGCAGAGCACTTTCCTTTCAGACTACAGGTTCACTAGAGGTTTCTAGAATTAAAAAAAAGGAGCACAGGTAGATTTTTTTTAGTCAGGTTCCTCTCCTGTGTAACAAACCTTCATTAACAGTCAGTGATGCGGACAACCGGTCCACCTATAAGACCAGACATAAACCTTTCATTGTTGATAAAACATAGAGTGGCCTGGTTTAACCTGCTATTTCTCTCTAGATAATGCTGATATAGGCCTAGGCTGCTGGAGGACATAATTGCCACTTTTTTCAATTCTCTTACCATTCTTTAGTTTAGCATTTTTCCTGTATTTTTTTGTTTTCTAACATACATTTGCCAGAATTATGTACTATTGGAGTTTAGCTGTACATCCTGAGGGGAAAATGATGGAACATTACCTTTTCAAGCATTAAGATGCCCTCATTGGTTTCGGGATCAGTTTTAAAGCTGAAATATCCACCCTCGTCTCCTTTGACAATTTCAAAAACAGCTTCCCAGTTTTCTGTACCCTTAAGGTCCATGTCCTGTGTTTTGAACCTCATCACCTCAACACCAAAGATGTTCTCCTTAATATTTAACTCAAACTGCAAAAAAACACACAAAACAACATGATGGTTTATTGTGGTAACATTTGATCAGTTAAAACATTTGTTCATCATCATTTCTTTAACTTAAATATGTTCCCAGCTCAGGGTTTCTGATCTACTGACATCTTCAAACCCACATTTTTATAGCTTGTGCACAAAAGTATGCGTACCAAAAAATGCCATTGGCCAGTAAAATAATATTCTACATCTCACATGCTTGTGATATATTTCAGTTGAAAGCTAAGCCCTTCTAGTTTCTGGAAATATGTGTTCGACTCTGTAGGTTTGTCCAACTATGCCAACATGTCTAAAAAACCCTCCTGTTTCCCCCGAAATACAAAGCATACAATATTTATTATGTTATATATTTTGTATGATTTAAAGCTGACCTTTCCCACGTACTGCACCCGTTCTTCATGTTGCTAAGAACAACTGTGTAAATTTTCAGATCTCATAAGCATTTTGAAACTATCCGTTTTCCATCTTAAAGGTCACAATTGTGCCAAATTTGGACCAAATGTTCCAAACTGATTTATTTGACATTCATGACTAATTTGACCATAAAAAACAAATCTTTATGTCTAGATTTACACAAACGTAGTCAAAATTATGACTTTGTATTTCATAATTATGACTTTCTATTTGGCATTTTTCTACTTTCATGTGGCAGAAACTGTTGATCCTCATCATCATTATTCAATTATTTTACTTATATATAAGAGGTATTATATATAAGTTGTAGTAGTACATGAAATACGTAAACTTAAATTTCTACTAAGCAAAGGTTATTGATATGAAAGCCTATTACGCCACAAAAATAAAATAAAAAAATGCCAAATAGAAAGTCATAATTATGAGATTCCAAGTCATAACTTCAACTTTCAGTGATAATTATGACTTACAAAGTAATAATTATGAGATACAAAGTCATAATTATACGGAAGAGGATTTGGGCCACTGAAAAAAAAAAAAAGTTAACTGATTTTTAAATTTTATTTCAGTTGTTTCAGTTTTTTATTGTCAAAATTCAGAGATTAAATTCAGAATTCTGAGATTAAAGTCAGAATTCTAAGAAAAAAGTCAGAATTCTGAGAAAAAAGTCAGAATTCTGACTTTTTTCCCATGTTAAACTGAAATAAAATCAGTTAACTTTTTTTTTTCCACTGACCCTAATCCTCTTCCGTATAATTATGAGATACAAAGTCATAACTTTGACTTTCAAAGTCATAAGTATGATACAAAGTTTGAAAGTAAAAGTTATCCCATAATTATGTCTTTCTATGTTGTAATTTCTACTTTCATGTGGCAGAAACAGGCTTCCATATATTGAAGATGCGTCACAGAGCTCAGTGAGCAGAAGCTTTATTTATGGATAGAAGTAGCCGTAGTAATAATACTTACAAGTATATTATATAGATTGCTAACACCTAATAAGGCCTTCGGGTTAGAGGAGCAAACATGGACGTTCAGCAGCAGTAAGGTCAACATTGCTAACTGGTCCAAAGAATGTTGACATCTGCAGAGATTATTCTGCTGATTCAATTCGCATGTAACACCTACTTCTGTTTTTTCCAAAGTTGGAGGATGGTCATTTACATCATCGAGGTAGACAGTGACAGTGCCTGTTGCAGTGTGTCCCCCTTCTGCACCATCCAGATCCGCAGCAGTCACTGTAAGAATGTACGTGTCTTCTTCCTGAAAAAAAAAAATAGTATTTATCACTAGCCAAAAAAAAAATGTAGGGAAAGTTTATTTCATTAATTAATTATTCCAACCGCAAAATCATTGCATAAAAAATAGTGCGGGATGCTGATTTATTGATTGCATTAATGTCTAAATTCAAAGCTGAGCTGCTAGAGTTTATATTATAGCTTTGGAGATCAGGTGAAGAGTTTGCAGGAGTTTTAATAAACTCAAACCTTTTGAAGGTAAAGGGCTTAGTGTACGCTTTGAGCTCTTTGCTATGAATACAGATTCATTGATAAAGGTCTATCATGTTTAAAATAAAAGTAAAACACCAGTTTTTGGAGAACATACTTCTCTGTCCAATGCAGAATTATTAACAATGATGGTCCCTTCCTTGGTTATGCTGAAATAGTTGTGGGGTATCTGGTTGATGATGGAGTAGGCGATCTTAGAATTGAGCGTCTCTGGTTCATCCGCATCGGTGGCGAAGATTGTTGTAACCGACGTCCCTGTGAAAGGAAATACAACAAAAGACAAAAATGCTGATATGGTCGAGTGCTTGTTGTTTGAACTGAGTAAATTAAACATTCTCACTAGCATTAGTTTAATCAACTTTTAAAAAAACAATTATATTTATTGTTTTATGTTTTTTTTTTGCACTACTGACCTTTAGGACTGTGCTCATCCACCCAAGCTGTCACCACAGAGAAGTCAAACTTTGGAGCGTTGTCATTCTCATCTTGCACCTTAAGCTTCAGGTCAATTCTTTTCTCTGCTTCGCTTCCATTTTTGAATGTAGCAATACCTTGAAGCTGAAAATAAACAATAGTGTTGTTATCTTTTGTGCTGTTTGCAAAACATTAATAACAGGAAGGATATAAATACATTTGCCAATTCCAAAACATCCTTAAAGATTATAAAAATCACAAAGACACATAGAAATATGAGGCGCCATTTCTAAGGCTAAGCAGTAAAAACTTAGGAGTAATATTTATGGTTATTTTGTTTTAGTAGAAAAATAAGGGGGTTATTTTTTTCAAACCTGCACCACAGAGCTACTACAGCCACGCACATGGGGCGTCACTGTGTTGCCATAGCAACGACTGCTTGCCCTTTCCACTAGAGGGAAGAGGCCGTCCCATTCTCGATCAGTACCCCTCCACCACCGCCTTCAATCAATGCGCCTTCCGAAGCGGTGAGTGAGACTTCATTGGGAGTGACACTCGATAGTTGAGGGTTAGTGCTTAGGGGGTAGTTTGGGATTCAGCTGACGACAAAGTGACTAAACAGAGATCAGTTTCTCTTCTTGAGCCGCAGGAGTTGTGTAGATATTCCCACGTGTCAGGAATCCAGTTTGTGTGGTCTGTTTTTGTGTTTCCTCCTCCACCAGGTGGTGCTTCGTCCTCATTGGTTCTCCATGCACACCTGCAGCTCATTGCCTCATTACCTGTGGAGTGTTCTCAAGCTGCTGACTGCCACTACCCTTGAGGCCAGACTGTTTGCCTAAACAGGGTGCTCTAGCCATGCTTAGTTTAGCAGAGTCTAACCTGAGCTTTGGTTTGCCAGTTTTGGATTCTCTAGCCAAGCTGAGTTTTTTCTGAGTCAAAATGAGTTTTTGTAAACCTGAGTCTTAACTTTGTTTTTGTCTTTGCCTCTCGGCAGGAAGTCATCCTGCAAACTGGATTTGTTCGGTCCTTCTCTCCCTGGAAGGATCAACTGAGCTTCTACATAAGCTGGGGTTCCAAACAGGAAGTTTGGATCCACTTTCCCCAAGAGGTCGTTTGAGCTTCACACCGAGCAAAGGTTTCATCTGCACCGCAGCCAGTTTATATACCGCAGGAAATCTGAGTGGCAGTCGGCTTCTTCGTTCTCCTAGGAATAACCGCAGTCTGAGTAAACCCAGTCCGCCCAACACCAAACAAGACAATCACTGGAATCTTCCCACACAGACTGGATTCCATAATGGACACCTTTTCCTGGAGAAGTGAGTTTGCTACCTATTCCTCCAATTCAAGCCTAAAAATCTAACTTCCCACTGAGCCTGAACTAACCGCAGTGTCTTCCCCTCACCTCCCAGTTCCGGTTTGACAGTGTTCTGAGCAGCACTGGATTCTAATAAACCTGTTAAACTTCCCCTGGTCTCTCTGTTTGGTCCTCTGCATTTTGGGGTTTAGATCTTTAATTAAATCATGACACCACGCTTTTACTTTGATAGTCCACTTCCGCTTCCTGGCAAGTGAATTTGCATATTAGCTAAATATTTAGCTAGCACCAAGCTAGCTGAATATTTAGTTTGTTAAATAAATATTTAATTTAGAGCTAAATAATTATTTAACAAACTAAATATTTAATTTGCAAACTAAATATTGAGCTCTTAACTAATTATATTTTTAACAAAGTAAGATATTTATAAATGAATGAATGACATAGTGAAAAAATTAGTTTGAAAAAAATATTCCCCTAGATTTTTCTCTTAAAAAACAGCTAAATAACCATAAATATTGCTCCTAATTTTTGACCTTTTGACTTTACAAACGGCGCCCCCTACAGATGGAGCAAAGGTTTCAATAACATTTTTTACGTAGCTCTTTATACGTTCAGCTGGTGACAGAAGTGTTTCCTGACCTGTTTGGGGAAAAAGCTTTGGAAATTCAGCTCCTGAATATTTATCTTTTTAAAGCTGACCCACAATGACAATGAGTGAGTAAAGGCCGAACCTTACATGCCGCTATTGACATTTAAATACTGCCTAAAAACTTCATCTTCTGACTGCTTTAATATCAATGTTATAATCAGTTCCAGTTCACATGTTTAAGCAGATGACGTTGGCATCCTCTAGAGCTTTTCTGAAGTCTAAAATACTAAGATTTATTCTGTGTTTTTAGGCTATAGCTCCGTTTCATTGCATTTGGGAAGCCCAGGCATGGTTTTATTTGCAGCTAAAAATAGATTTCAATCCTGCTCTCCAACGTCCGCTCGTTGGAAAACAAAATGGATGATCTCCGAATCGAACTCTCTTCAAAAAAGGAGATATGTAGCTGCTGCGTTATCATTCTGAATCAATTTGACTGAATTATCTGGTGAACTGGAAGGTGCCTAAGATGACATGATGTAAATTGGTGCTATAGAAATAAACTGAATTGAATGGAGTTGAATTGAATAAATGCTTGATATCTGGGTGAAGCCAGATAGATGTTGAACAAGTTTCACATTTAAAGGAGAATCAGTGCATCATTATTTATACCTAAAACTAATACGTTTGCTCTGATTTAAAGAATTTAGCGTTTATCAGTAAAAAAATAAAAAAACGAATTTTCGTTGCGATCACTGAGTCTGGGAGCAGCCATTTTTGCCCAAACATAGTAGCCCCTCCCTCCTGCCATCGTCCAGCAGTGACGTCACGGTGCGGTAAGCCTAGCGCCATTCTCCCCGCTTTCCAAGCTAAATCAATGGGAACTACTAGACACATCTGCAATCAACAACAATTATTGAAGATTTCCAGAGGACTTCACCATTGAAATTCACCAGAGCTATAGTGAAACTGACAATGCCCACGTGCATGGCAGCTGGATGCTGGAATACATTGGGTAAAAGTGGGAAAAAAAAGAGTTATTCCACCTTTCTGATTCCTGATCCTCCACGGACGGAAGAAGTTTAAATCGTGAATATGAATATACAGAATTATGCGTTTGGATTTACAGTTGGAAACTTACATAGTAGGTGTCAATACTCTCCCTGTCTAGCTTTTTGGTCAATCGAACATTTCCATTATTAGGGTCAACCACGAACACATGGAAAGGAAACTTATTTGCTCCAACTCCCTCTAAGGAGTAAGTCACACCTTCTGCAGCTGAATAGTCAGATCGGATCTGAAACAGAAGAAGACTCTGATTAGACGACGCATGAAACATGGAGAAGTCTTTCAGTGAGATGGTTCAGAGCTGCTCACCTTGGCAATATATTCCAGATGACTATAGTCAACATTTTCCTTCAGAGTTTTTGGAGGAATAATCCACTCTCGTTTGTGCCTCACCAGATTAAATCCAGAATGAGCTCTTACCAACACAGCAGCCTGAATCTGTGAAATAAAAAAAATAACTGTTACATTAATGAAGACAGTCTGGTAGTCATCTAAGCCTTGAAGCGGGCTTAGATGACTCAGAGAGCGGGTTTAGTGACATTCAAATGAAACAGGTGGACGGAGGAATGCTGTCACTTCCTCTGAAGAGGATTCTCAGTTTTGCTTTTCCAGGGGAGAGACAGAGCTTGTTCAACCGGGAACAGAAACAGGGTCAGAACCATGGAGGCAGAATCAGGCTTATAAATTGGACTAGGCCAGAGGCGGCAGTCAGGGGCAGAAATATCGTTGATGTTCTGAAAAATCTGTGAGGTCCAGGGGCGGCCAATCAAAGGCGAATAAGTTGCAGATCAAAACCAGGATCAGAAAAGGAACGCTGGACATCTGCTAACCATAGGTTTTCAATAATCTGGCCCTATCAACTAGTTTGATGCTGCTTAAAAAAAGGATTTGAGACAAGTTGAAGGAACGAGCTTTGATGACAGTGAGCGGAAGGTGGAGAGCCAGAGGAGGAGAGTAAAGGAAAAGACAAGTATTTGACAGACCAGAATCATGAACTAAAGAGACTGAGAGTAACGACAATGAAATGGTTAACACTCATGTTACAACAGTAGTGATACAAAATAATTCCTAACTAAAAATGTTTTAATACAAAAGAAATCATTTCTGTATAAGACAAAAGGAAGAATGAATAATCATAATTATGCTCATGGTACCGTCCCGCCACACTGCTCCCTTGGGGCGCCATTGAGGGCTGCCCCCTTGCACGGGTGAGGCATAAATGCAATTTCATGGTGTGCAGTGTTCACTTGTGTGTGCTGTGTCACAATGACAATGGGAGTTGGAGGAGTTTCCCAAAGGGCTTTAATTGTCTGTAATACCTCTCAGGTGAATTGGTTGATGAAGTAGAGAGGAGAAAGGAGCTTTTCCTTTTTATTTTGTTATAAAAACCGGTGAAGATTAGAAAGATAAATCTGGTGAATTTCAGTTAAAAAACGGTTGCTGTCACCTTAACCCTGTCAGCCATCTTTCTAGATGTGTTTTTAGGTCATAGTTCTCACATACAGAAGTAATTTTATTTAAAAAGGGCATCACTATCAATAATTTGTATTAATTGTTATGTTTCTGTTTTCTTTGATGTTTTTTTCTTTTGAGTATTCAGTTTTGCTTTTCTTCTTGTTTCTTAGTTTTTTATGGTTTAATTCTTTGTTTATTGTGTTCTTTTGTTTTTTCTCTGTTACTGTCCGAGTCTTGGTTCTGTTTTATTTTCTTTTTAGTGGTTAGTTTTACTCCATGTTTTTTAGTCTTAGTGGTTTAGTTATTATTTTTTTGTTTTCAGTCTTCCAGGTTTTTCATTTGTTGCCCTCTGCTGCCCTCTTGTGTTCTCCTTTTTCCCTAGCTTCTGTTTTGTTTCTGCCTCTGTGCTCGCCTGTTTCCTATCTGCTCATTAGCCCCCCCTTTGTCTCTGTCTCCTCTAAAAGCTCTCTCTGTTCTCTTCCTCTTTGCTGCGTCCTCGTCTATTTCGTCTTACATGCTCCAACTTCGTCTCTCCGAGCCTTCATCCTTGAGTTTTGATTCCCTGATGTCTCCATGGTTTTCTGGTTTGTTTTCTACTTATTTTTTCATGTTTTGAATTTTGGACTTCTGGTTTCTTGTTTGTTTTTTTGGACTTTGTTTTCATTTTTTGGGATTTTGGATTCTTGGTTGCCTTTTTGTTTGGACTTTATTTTTTCAGTTAGTTTTCATAAAATTAATCATAAATTCACCTCTGCCTCTGCTTTTGGTACGGAAGAGGATTAGGGCCACCAAAAAAAAAAAAAAAAAAAAAGTTAACTGATTTTTAAATTTTATTTCAGTTTAACATGGGGGAAAAAAGTCAGAATTCTGACTTTTTTCTCAGAATTCTGATGTTTTTCTCAGAATTCTGAGGTTAATCTCAGAATTGTGGATCTTAATGTAGATGGGCACGATGAAGTCAGAGATGTGGAGCTCTCAGCTTCACTGACAAAGATGGGAGTTGTTTGAGAAGGCCAGTGACACATTGGTGGAAAATGACGGAATTAGTCAACTTTTTACGTGCCTGAGGCGTCCCCTCATTAATAGAGGAGCAGAAGGTCATAAAAACAAGAGAGCTAGTCTCTAAAACAGACATGGCTATGGCTTGATGCTAACATCTTGGTTAGCTGTCAGAATTCTGAGAAAAAAGTCAGAATTTTGAGATTAAAGTCAGAATATTATAATATTATTATATAATATTTCCCATATTAAACTGAAATAAAATAAAAAAATCAGTTAACTTTTTTTTTTCCAGTGGCCCTAATCATCTTCTGTATTTTGGGTCATCAACCCACAAACAAATCCTGACATTAAGGTTTTTTTCCCAAGAAGGTTTTTTCACATAGTTTTAAACAAACGGGGAAATAACTTTGACAGCTAGATGATGTTGATTATTGTCAGATCTATATTCATTCAGCATATAGAGATAATTAAAACCAGTAAGGGCTGAAACAACTAATCAGATTATCGATTATTGAAATAATCATCAACTAATTTAGTAATCGATTAATTGTGAAATAAAGTATAGAGACTGTAAAAAATGCCTTTAGCAGACAGAGTGACCAACTTATAGCAGGAATTATATCTGAATTTTAAATAAATATATAAACATTTTGCATTTAAGATTAAAAAGAAAGTTTTCGTCTGTCAATCTGCTCTATCCAGAACTCCTCAAGTTTCCCCTGGTTTAATTTATTTAAATTACTTTTAGGAACCTTTTGCTATCTGATCATTAATCTGTTAATAAAATGATTGACAGACAAAAAAGTGTTTGAGGTGAATAAAAGCTCTTTCCATAGCAGAATAGTAGCGATAATAATCAAATTTTTCAGTTAATAAACACAAAACCTTTAAGGAAAGTCATCCGTGATACTTTTTATCAACTCACCCCGATCAGCAGTAAGACCAGCGTGGACTGGGATGGTCGAATCATAGTTACTGGGAGAAGACCAGTGGTTTCAGTAAACACACAGAGTCCCGCTGTGTTTGTTGCTTGTCAGTTTTGATCAGGTGGAGGGAAGAAATTATCTCTTTAAGGAAGTAACTTACATTTAAACACAGCGACAAATAACTCAGTAGCTCAGGAATGTTTCACTTCAAATGAAATGTGCTGGTACCCAGTTCCCTGGAAATCTGTTATATAAAAGACCAACTTCCGCTGAAAGTCGAGTGCTAATGAAATTCTAATGAGATTATTTAACTCCAGCAGACTCAATGTTTTTAACACAGCTGCTAAAACAGAACAGCTGGATTCAGGGGTGGGGGTGGGGGTGGGGGGGGGGGGCGGGGGATTTACCATCACGCAAAACTAGGCAGCTGCCTAAGATAAGATAAGATAAGATAATCCATTATTTGTCCCACAGTGGGGAAATTGCAGCGTTGCATCACAGTACAGTAGGAAAAAAGAAGAAGAATACAAAGTATATAAAAAAAAAAATATATATATATATATATATATATATATATATATATATATATATATATATATATATATATATATACATTAAGTATATACAGACAGACAAGGCAACACTGGTATAAAGTGACAACAGTAAAGTTCTGTGCAAATGATTGATTGTATTAAATTATTGCAGATTTAAATAGGTATGAGTGAAGTATACAATAGATATGCAATAATAACAGGTAAAGTGACGGTGGACATATGGTTGATACGGAGCTAGCATTGTTGGCTGTACAGTCTGACAGCAGCGGGAAGAAAGGATCTGCGGAATCTCTCCTTTATACAGCGAGGGTGTATCAGTCTTTCACTGAAGCTGCTCTCCAGAGCAGAGAGAGTGTCCTTCAGGGGGTGGTCCTCATGGTCCAGCATAGACATGAGTTTGGGCAGGGCCCTCCTGTCCCCCACCTGCTGTACAGAGTCCAGAGGACAGCCCAGGACTGAGCTGGACCTCTTGATGATCTTGTCTAGTTTTTTTCTGTCCGTAATGCTGTTGCCCCAGCAGGCCACACCGTACAGGGTGGCTGATGCCACCACAGAGTCGTAGAAGGTCTTCAGGAGTGGCCCTCTCACCCCAAAAGACCTGAGCTTCCTCAAGAGGTAGAGCCGGCTCTGGCCCTTCCTGTACAGAGCCTCCGTGTTGTGAGTCCAGTCCAGTTTGTTGTTGAGATGAACACCCAGGTACTTGTAAGTGTCCACCCTTTCAATGTCCTTTCCCTGGATGTTCACTGGGGGAGGGACGGTGGGACGGCGTCTGAAGTCCACCACCATCTCCTTGGTCTTTCCTGCGTTTATGAGGAGGTGGTTCAGCTGACACCAGTCCACAAAGTCCTGAATAAGTCCTCTGTACTCCGCGTCGTCATCATCTGTGATAAGGCCAATGAGGGCGGAGTCGTCGGAGAACTTCTGCAGGATGCAGCTGTCCGTGTTGTGTCTGAAGTCTGCAGTGTAGAGGGTGAAAAGGAAGGGCACTAAGACCGTTCCCTGGGGGGCCCCCACACTACAGGTCCTGATGTCAGACACACAGTCTCTTGTCCTCACAAACTGGGGCCGGTTTGTGAGATAGTCCAGGATCCAGTCGGCCAGGTCACAGTCCACTCCTGCAGTCTCCAGCTTGTCTCTCAGGAGCCTCGGCTTTATGGATGGGCCCCATAAAACTCTGTTTACATTTATAGTTAATACAACTATTCCTTATTTGTGCACATTATGTTTTGGATAAAAATCCTTTCGCTAAAATGCCATCAGAGTGCTGATAATATTAAGTGTCTGCTGTCATGATTCATGCAGCTATTATTTCATCCAAATGAAAAATGGAGAACAGATAAGCAGATCATGGCTTGTCTACAGTGAAAAGAAGGACTGGGTTATTTACTTTGGCCTTTTTGGAAACACAGGAAGGAGCAATCAGCTAAGTGAGCTTAGTGCTTGGAAAAAATCTTTCATTCCTTTAGAGACAGCATGAAAAGTCAGCTGAGTACAAAACATAGAGAGGAAAACAAGAAGAAAAGGGACAAGAAGAGAGGGACACAACCTAGAACAGATAATGGATGTCTATTCTAGTAACATTTCTTTATCTCTTTGCCTAGGACCCCACATTTCCTAACTCCGCCCCTGACTGGAATCTGTTTCATTTAAGTTTACAAAAGCACCTTATTTTAAGTTGCAAATACTTTGTTTTTCCATAACATTTGCCTATAATGTGTGGAAAAAGAAAAGTATGTTTCTGTTACAAAGGTTGCGTGCGGGAATCACCCTGACTCCTCCCTTCACAGTTAAAATAATATCTGGAAATTCTGACGCTAAACAATTAGTCTCTTCCCATTTAAAAAAATCACTCTGTATAAAATGAAATTATATAATAAAGAATTGTGTACTGAGGATCATTTCTATGGACCTTTTATTGAAACTTTGTTGCTTGTTTTTCATTGCCTGCATTAGGTTCCAGTCACCAAAACCAGGTTCCTGGTTCCTCCCAGTTTCACCAGTCTTTCAGACCTCTGGCTCAAACCCAAACCTCAGAACTTCTGACTCTGGTTCAGCTTCCCCATTCCTCAGCTTCCTTCAGAGCTTTCAAGAAGGTTTGGTGGAGTTTTTCACTTCAGTTTTTAATTCAGTTTATTTCCATAGCGCCAATTCAACACATGTCATCTCAAGGCACTTTACAGTTCACCAGAATTGCATCGACTCATTGACTCTTCAGCAATCCCTCACACTAAGCATGCTTGTAGCGACAGTGGAGAGGAAAAACTCCCTTTGAACAGGAAGAAACCTCCAGCAGAACCAGGCTCAGTGTGAGCGGCCATCTGCTGAGGCCCACTGGGGTTCAAGGAGACAGAAGCAGACATAGAAAAAGAAGCATAGATACAAAAGGCAACTGTCAACCAGCTCCACAGGCGGCCCCGTCCAGGAAACACACAGCCAGGCAGACGAGCTCCGAGCCAGCTCCCATGTCAGAGGATGAAGAGAGCACATCCAGTTAGTCACAGTCAGAGAAACAGGACTACACTGGAAAACAGGCCAAGCTCCGGCCCGGTCCACACGAAGTCAAAACGAACACGAAACGCTGATATTTTCCAAAACGTTTGCCGTAAAGACGGAGACGTAAAATAAATGTGAGCGTCCACACGAATGCATGAAAACGCTGCAAAATGTATGCCAGGCCTGTAAGTGGCGCTGTGGTGCCAAAGCAAAAATAAGCGACGAAATGTTGGGCATGCGCACTAATATTTATACATGGTTGCCCTGCGGGTCCATTTTGGTGGTTCAGTCAAATTCAGGTGCTGAACTATGTGGTCGATATTGCTCTGTTCTTCCTGGAGATATTCCAGAAGAAGAAGATTCTGTTGTAAGCCCGACAGCAGGGTGAGTAGCATGAGCAGCAACGGTGCCATTGTTGTTGTGATACTGTGTCGCGCATGCGTGTTTAGAGGCGACGCTATGACGCATGCGTGTAAAAAAAAATATGCGGTTAGAGCGTAAAGATGGAAACGCGAAAACGGCGTTTTGAAATCTTCCCACTCTGAAGGCTGAATAAAAAAAAGATTGTTTACAGACCCCCGAAACGCCGGCTTCGTGTGGATGAGAGGCTGGTTTGGTGAAAAATTTGTGCGTTTAGGCCAGGGTTTGACTTCGTGTGGACGGGGCCTCCAACATCTAGAAACAAAGGTGTTGATGGCAGCAGCACAGCTGATATTTCTCTCCAGGATGGAGTCACAGCCAAACAGGAACAGACCAGATGAAGCTACTATGAGAAAAAGCAGAGAGAGCAGAACGTTAGAGATTGAACTAACAGATTCTGCAGAGTGGGAGAATAGAGATAGAGTTTTTAACACCCATGATGCCAAGCCCCGCTCACTTCCTCTCTTTACATTTTCTCTTAAAGTGTATTATTTTCTCTCTGGCTAAAATCCCAGTGTAAGCCAGAGTCTTTTGTTCTCTCTTAGTTTGTTTTTATTTAGTTTTTTTCCTAATTTCTTTTATTGAGTTACATATTGAATTATTAACTTTTTCATGTGTGTAAAACACTTAAGGAGCTGTGGAGTTGTTTTTTTAGAGTGCTTTAGAAACAAAGTCGAATAAACATTGCGGTGTCATTACCTGAGAAAACATTTTGTCCAACCAGTTTAAAAGTGAAATCAAAAGCAGACATATTTAACACGTCCGTTCCCACCCATGACTCGCCTTCCAAGGAACTATGTGTGTAATTTTAAACTAGCTTTACTTGTTCCGCTTGACCAGTGCATGAAGATATGACATTGATAATGCTGTAATAATGACTGATAAAAACTCTTCCCCTTGTATCTGAAGTTGAACATGAATCTGAGCTTTGATGGTTGAAGAGGAATTTTAAAGCATCAACGCAGCAACAGCTTTTAGAAATGCAATAACATACGTAAAAATAATTATCTGTGTTGCCTCGAGGCTTTCACCTTTTGTTGAGGACGTGTGAATTTTAAAACTACATGACAGGTCTGGATAAAAGCAAAGCTATTTTATTTCCTACAAAGTTATTTAACTAATCAATGGAGCATTTTCAGTCAGACCTGCCATCAAATCTACAGCTTGGACAGATAGACGTACTTCTATTGTTCCTACAGCCCGAAGCTAGAAGCAGGAATTTACCAGCCAACTGTTGGCTCTGATCTCCGAGGATGGAGGAGGCCAGGCTACAGTAGTAGCCATTCAAAATGTCCCCACTTTCCTAGGCTGGTCCCCTACAGTTCCTTTTTAAACATCAATCTTTGTACTAAGCTATTCTTTCTGTCATGATTTGTGGACATTAAGATCGAAAGAGAAGCGCCATCTCCTGGTCAGACCCCTTAGCGCTTTAGTCGCTATATGTAGCGACTTTTCAGACCCCTCTGGCACTTTGATTTCTAAAAAGCTCCTAGCGCCAAATCTAGAGACTTTTTTCTGCTACTGGAGACTTTGGAGACAACATCTAAAAGCAGCGAACTCTGCTCTCCAGAGCGAGTAGATTGGTAACCCCGCCTCCTGCTCTCCTCTATCTTGTCTGCTGTCATGATTCATGCAGCTATTATTTCATCCAAATGAAAAATGGAGAACAGATAAGCAGATCATGGCTTGTCTACAGTGAAAAGAAGGACTGGGTTATTTACTTTGGCCTTTTTGGAAACACAGGAAGGAGCAATCA